CCTGCACCTGGTGGAAGTTCTACTTACCTTTCAAAGGCCAGTGCAACCACAGCTCTCCTCTCCAGCTCACTCCCCATGGCCGTGCCCAAGAAGATTCTCTGTCCTCTGTGTCATCACAGCACTTGGTGCTCACCATTTATCAGCCTGAATTGTGGACGGCTGCCTGGGTGTCCCTGCCAAGTGGTACTGGACAGGGGTTAGGATCGCAGGCTCTGTGAGAGGAATGATGTGGGTTCTGCCACTACAAACTCTGTAAAGACCTAGGCAAGCCATCTTTTCATCTCTCTGGTCTTGGATTCTGTTCATCTATAGACAAGGTAGTAACAGTACCCGCCTGAGCAGACACTTGACTGTCTAGCTTATGGTCTTTCCCAACCCTTGTCTTTTGCTGCCTCCCACTACAGAGACATCCACTTTCCAAGCCTTCCTTGTAACCGGGGGAAATCACTGGCTCCTTTATGGCCTATGATAGATAAAGAGAAGTCTGCTGGGAGCAGGAATATTTATGAGAACGTACTCCCGTAGGAAAGACAATACACAGGAAGCTACTTTTCCCTGCTTGAGACATTGGGTATAAGGGTGTGACCACTAGGCTGGGGAAGTCATCCCAGGACCATGCAGTAACCAGCATCAGAATGAAACACATGTACATGGAAGGCTGTGAAAGAGAAAGCACCCAGTTCTCGGTGTCTGTGAGCCTCTGCTCCAACCATGGGGCTTTTGTCCTTCACACTCTGCAGTGAGAGAATTCCTCCTCTCCATCATTTAGCCAAGATTCAGCAGGCATCTTATCACCTGCAGCTGATGAGTCCCAACCAGCATATCTTCTCGTGAAGTAAGGGTTCAATGCCATCATGGATGCAAAGTGCTTAGCGTGTTGTTGGCCTTCACTCAGTGTTGGTTAAAGATGACTACTGCTATCACAGCTGCTCAAGACCATTCCACAGCTACTACATCCCACTGCAGAGACAGAAGATGCCAGCAACACATACTTGGCACATTTTATCCCCTGCCCAGCCACCCAACAGAGGGAAGCACATCTGCCAGGGCTGTTGTTTCACATCTGCACCCAGCCTGCAGTGGCATGAAAGAGCAGAGGAGGAGAGGGGCCAGCCTCTCCCCAGCCTCGGCGGTTTCTCCCTGGCAGTGCCCTTTGGGGTCTGGGCAGTGGAGCTGTTTTCATGCCAGGAGGGGGAGTGACAGGGCTGGGGTGTGAGGGCTGCACAGTCCTCCCATACTCCCCACCTTGAGTCTGCTCAGGCCCCCCAGGAAGGGGTCACCTACCAGTGATGGTCGGCCTTGGACCCTCTGCTTCCAGAACTTTCTGTCATGAAGCTCATTCCTGGGGCTCACACCACTGACCCCAGCTGCATACCTTTAGGCCACAGCTCAGGTTGGACTTCTTTCCTTGGGAGAAAGTGGTCCTTGGGAATCTCACTGCTGCTGACCACAGGGCTGGATGATGTCCTGGATCTTCATGTCCAGAGTGAGGTGGGTGCTGACCATATAGCAAGGACACTGGCCACACCTGTGGCCACCCAGATTGGTGGGCACTGGCTCCACCCCATGCCATGGCCACACCCATCAACCTGCTCCATGGCCTCAGATTCCACAGAAGCATGTGACACCCAGGTGGGCCTCCAGGCCCAACAATGGGCATGGTATTTTAATTTGTCAGAGCAAAATTGGGGGAAAATAAATATGCAGCATTGAAGTGGTCTGGGCGAAGAGTTTCTCATAGCACAGGAGAGGCTGATGAAATACCATTAGGTGATAAAATTACCATGCACTGCTGTATTTTTGTGATGTGATCTCAGCCATTAAACATACACGGGAAAAGGGGCACCCGGGTGGCTCAGTCAGTTAAGTGTTCGATTCTTTGTGTCAGCTGGTTCATGGGTTCGAGCCCCATGTTGGGCTCTGTGCTTGCAGCGTGGAGCCTGCTTAGGATTCTCCCTCTCTCACTCTCTCTATCTCTCTGCCCGGCTCCTGTTTGTTCTCACGCGCACGCGCGCTCTCTCTCTCTCTCTCTTAACATTTGAAAAAATACACAGGAAAAAATAATGAAATGAAACACACATAAATGTCAACAATTCTGACTTCTGGGGGTTGGTGTTGGGATTGTTGTTTTGTTTTTTCTGAACCCTCCAGTTTCTGCAATGCACGAGTATTATTTTTCCAATCTGAAAACCTTAATTTAAAAAAATAATTAATCTTTATTCACTTTTGAGAGAGAGACAGAGCGCCAACAGGGGAGGAGCAGAGAAAGAGGGAGACACAGAATCCAAAGCAGGCTCCAGGCCCTGAGCTGGCAGCACAGAGCCTGACGCGGGGCTTGAACTCACAAACCATGAGATCATGGCCTGAGCTGAAGTCGGATGCTCAACCAACTGAGCCACCCAGGCGCCCCTGAAAAATCTTAATTTTTAATTAAATGGGGCTACAGGTGTGAGGGTATCTGGCAGGTGCTCAGTAAATACTAGCTGTGTCTGCACCAGACCCTCACCTTCCTCCCAGGCCGTGGCTCCTGGAGGTTGGACAGTGCCTCCCCCTTCTTGGCGACCCAGTGTGAGTACACGGCAAGGACCTGCTTAATGAGGCCTTCACTCTTAGGAATACACCAGTGTGGGGGGAGCCTGAGTGGCTCAGTTGGTCAAGCGTCCAGCTTAGGTCATGATCTCACGGTTTGTGGGTTTGAGCCCCACAACTGGCTCAGTGCTGTCAGCTCAGGTTCCCTTTCTCTCTGCCCCTCCCCTGCTCAAGCTTTCTCTTTCAAAAATAACTAAACGTTTTTTAAAAATCTAAAAAAAGAATCTACCAGTGTATTTAAGGTACAATTTCCAACTCCAGGTGTATGAAAACATTAAGTATTTTGTAAACCTCAACTCTTAGGAAAACTAACATAAATGCGAAAGGCAACCTTCAGTAAGACATCAAACTCTAAGTTTTAAGGTGACAAAAGATACCACAAAAAAGTCAAGAAATTCAACTTGTATAAAATTTAAGCTTCTATAGGGAGGAAAGAAACATAACTATAAAGCAAGTAAACTGGGACAAATATGAGTGCCTAATAGACACGTAACACAAACATTTGCTAATGGTGGGTAGAAAAAAAATTGTCAATTTTTTTACAAACCTGACAGCAACTAAGAAGGCAAAAACAAGCCACAATTCATAAAAGGAACAAAAAGACATACAGAAAATTTACAGAAAAAACAAATATCGAAAACAGTGTTGGCTTGACTATCACATAAGTACAAATTAAAACAACAATATTCCACAGTATGTATACTAGTTTAGAAAAAGATTCCTCAATGTAAAGGCTTGTCCTGGGGAGCCTGGGTGGCTCAGCCAGTTAAGCATCTGACTTTGGCTCGGGTCATGATCTCGTGGTTCAGGAGTTTGGTCCCGTGTCGGACTCTGTGCTGACGGCTTAGAGCCTGGAGCCTGCTTTGGACTCTGTGTCTCCCTCTCTCTGCCCCTTCCCCGCTCATTCTCTCTCTCTCTCTCTCAAAAGTAAATAAAAAACATTAAAATAATTTTTTTAAAAGCCTTGTCTTACTGAATCTTGGTAAAGTGACATCACTGCTGACAATGTGTCTTTTGATGACAAATTGGTCATACTGCCAAGAATCATGAAAGACACTCATTCCCCCCCTCCCCTGCTTGCGCTCTGTCTGTCTCTCTCTCAAAAATAAATAAACATTTTAAAAAGATTAAAAAATAAAGGAACAAGAAATGGTATCATGGAAATGTTGCTTGCATTTCTTATTTATGATAGAAACAGATAACCACCTGGGTGGCTCAGGTGGTTAAATGTCTGACTCTTGATCTCAGCTCAGGTGTGGATCTCAGAGTTGTGAGTTCAGGCCCTGTGTTGGGTTTTGCACTGGGTGTGAAGCGTACTAAAAAGAGAGAAAGAAAAGAAAAGAGAAGAGAAAAGGAAAGAAAGAAAAGAAGCAAAGCCCTGTAGATTTCCCACGGAGGAAAGGAAGGAAGGAAGGAAGGAAGGAAGGAAGGAAGGAAGGAAGGAAGGAAGGAAGGAAGGAAGAGAAGCCCTGTAGATTTCCCACAGAGAACAGGAAGTCACCACCAGCATGGCCACTATGAAAGAGGAACATGGAGAAATGTTGGCTAAGGATGACTACAAACTGGAACATTAAGTTATATGTACATTGTTACTGCAGTCTAGAGAAGTTGTGTCCTGCGTGGACAAGGTGAAAAAAAAAAAAGTAAAAAAACCTCAAGATATATCAGAATGAGATCACTTCTTTTTCATCTTCTCGATTATTGTAATAATGTGTGTGCAATACGTCAGTGCTGGAGTGGGGAGAAGCAAAGTGTATTGTAACAACCGGTACCAAAGAGTGTGCTCCCCTGTTAGGGTGTGAGCTGCAGCTATTGATACATTGGGGGTCCCACCCCTTGTTCCCCAAACTGCCAAACACTCTCTTGCCCATGCCAGACGCTGCCTGTGTTTGCCTGTGTCTCATCCGTCCTGCCATCGAAACCTTTTCTACAGCAAGTTCTTTCCAAAGATGTGCTTGGGAACTCACCTGCATAGTCTACAGCTGTGTTGTAAACTTCATGGACTCCTTCAAATAAGTAGAAGGACCCACTGTATTCGGTGGGAGATTGCAGCCAATATTGTTGGTGTCCCTGTGGGTCCTGGCACCCCCTCACTGTGCCCCTGACCCTGTGATTCCAGAAGTAGCCCTGCTCTCGGGGGGCTGCTTGTGGGCACCTAGGAGAGCCAGAAATGCTGTGAAGCTTAGACCAGGGGCTGGTGTGGTGAGCTTGTGAGGGCCCAGACCCTTCCCCAGGTGGAGACGGCTCCTAGGAGAGACTTGGCCCAGAGTCCCCAGGCTGCCTGTGGTAGGACTGCCTGGGTGGCTCCTCCAGTGGCTTCCTCCCTCCTGTCCTATTGCCCGCCTCCCCCCAGCCTCCCATGAGGAGCTACCACGAAGGTCTAACCTCCTTCCCTCCCTCTCTCATCCCAGGCCAGGTACACAGGCCTCATCTTCTTCCACGAAGGCTGGCCACTGTGCATCCATGAGAAGGTTGTGGTGCAGCTGGCATCCCTCCGCGGAGTTAGGCTCAGGCCTGGGGACTTCTATCTACAGGTCACATCAGTGGGGAAGCAGTCAGCCAGACTGGTTTTAAAATGCCTTTCTCAGCTTGGACGGGGCTCAGAAGAAGTTACTGTCCCTGAGGCCATGTACAGCTGCGTCTTCACAGGAGAGTTCCTGGAACAGCTGAACGGGGAGCGGAACGGTGTCCCCTTGCAAAACTGCTTGCTGACCTCAGGCTCCGCCGTCTTCCGCACCCCATGGAGCAGTGTCACAGACCCCATCTTTGTCCCAACATTCAGGACCGCCCTGCCCCACCGCAGCTGCCCCAGGCCTGAGCAGCCACCACCTAGAAGTGCCTCCAAAGCTCTAGCCCCAGCACCAGTCATGGCCAGCACTCGTCCCCATGAGAGTACCCCTCCCAGTGACACCCCCACCCTGCCCCACTGTGGTGGGCAACCCGGCAGTGACCAGCCCATCCACCAGCCTTCTGCAGGAAGGGCTGGGTGGGAAAACCCTAGAAGCACGTTCTGGAGCTCTGACGGAGGCCTTGTAGGGGTTGGGCCCTCAGAGCCAGGCTTGTGGGAAGGACCAGGAGAGAGCCTGGACCCCACAGACAAAAGAGATGGTCCCCAGGCCCTCACTGTCCGTGAGGACATGGGCAGCCCAAGTTCCAGAAGGCAGTCACCCAGGGACCCAGCCTGCATGGAGGCCAGACGTTGGTTTAGGAAGTCCTATATGGAGGCCCTGCGGAACCCCATGCCCCTGGGCTCCAGTTCCGAAGAGTCCCTTGGGGATGAGGCCTGCAGCTCCGAGACCATAGCGGCTGGGGCAGCAGCCAGCCGAACCCAGAAGGAAACCCCCAGCCTCTGGGGAGACCACGGGGAGATCTCAAGTCAGGAAAGCGATCCAGGAGCCGCTAGGAGCACCCTTCCCAGGCGGTCTCGGTCCTGTGACAGGTCCTTCAGGAGCTCCCGAGGTGAGGCCCGGCGGGCCTCCCACCACTCACTCAGCACCAGGCCTGGAGGTCTTTTAGGAGGACAAGCCGAGGGGACCAGACGTGCAGGCTCCAGCGGCCCCTCCTGCACCACAGGGGAGAGTCCAGGTAACGGCCCCAACCCTGACTCTTCCTGCTCCTCCCTAACCCACCTGCCACATCCCTCCCCCCCCCCTTCCCCTCTTCCCTTCTCCCACTCCATGCTGTAACTTTTCTCTGGTCAGTGACACAGGAGAAGCCTGTGTCCACATCCATATCGACTGTTGAAAACAATGTTTGTGTGTGCCCCGTCCCTGTGGCTGCTACAAGGAACACAGACAGTGGGGCTGAGGACATTTATCCTGTCAGTTCTGGGGCCAGAAGTCTGACATCAAGATATTGGCGTGGCTGTGCTCCCTCCAGAGGCTCTAGGGGAGGGTCCTTCCAGCTATAGGGGGCTCCCCCACCCCTCCATCTTCTCCCGATGTCTCTGTGCCTCAAACCTCCTCCTTTCTCTTAAAAAGACACCTATCTTTGGATTCAGGGCCCACCCAGCACTTCAGTTATTCATATCTACGAAGACCTTTTCCAAGTAAGGTGTCGTTCACAGGTTCTGGGAGTAGACACATCCTTTTGGGGTCACTGCTCACCCTGTCACATTGCATTAATACCCTTTTCCTGTGGGTAAGTTGGGTGCTACGCTCATAGTACAAGCTCCTAAGTTACGCACACCTCAAAGGCCCGCAAATGTGCTGAAGTACAACCCTAAGTACTGGGATCGTCTCCCATAATGCTCTGGAGGGAAGACATTATTTAAAGGAGTGTTTGCAGGGCATCAAGAACAACAAAAAAAAAAATGACGACATATTTCTTAAGTTTTCTTTGTTTTTCGAACAAAGAAATGTTCTGTGAAGGACAAAAGCAACAACTTTGGAGGAAGTGAAGAAATCAGGGTTAGCCCCGGCATCCCACACAGCGAAGAAACTGTGGCTTCCTCACCTGGGCAACCCCTGGCCTGCCCACTTGGCCCAAGGAGGGAGTTGCCCACGCCTCTGGGTGGGCCTGTCACTTCTGAATTGAGGGTTTCTGCTCATGCCTGAAATTCTGACAGGATTCCCACAGCATAGAGCACACACAGACTTACTGCGAAAGATGTTATAATAAAACTACTGGCTTAGGGGTAGCCTTTTTAAAGAACATTCCACCTCCTTGCAGTTCAATTAAAATTTCAACAAAGCAAGAACTCCCTGGACATTGTTTCCAGGGCCTAACTTTTCTTGTTGGTATAGGGTAGAAAATGCACAGTCACACACATGCTGGATGACTCCGTGAAAACTCGTTTGTAGCTCATCTCAGCGAGGATAGCCTCTGTCCTCACGAGTCACTCTAAAGTGTAATTAAGTAAATGTTCCTCCGCACAGAAATTCTGGCTGTGCAAATGCTACTGTGGACATTCAGGCACAGCGTCTCGGACAGAGGGGCACATGGGGCACAGACGCTTGACCGCAGTCAGGATAGCTGGCGGTCATGGAGGTGGCGGGTTTAGTTCACACAAATCAGTGTTGCCGAGTGGAAGCATGTTTAGCCTGCTGGCCCCCTGGGTGTCCAGTAGCACGTCTGCAAACATGAGTCTCGTCATCAGAGTCATGATGCTCCCAAGCGGTCATTGCTCCTGGGCCCCAGGGGGCTTTGCCTCCTCAGCTCCAGAGATTATACACTAGTTTGCGCTGAGGGCTGGTGGGGAGAGAAGTCTTGTCTCCCTCGCCTGAAGTTGGGCGTTCACTTCCTGGGAGAGCACTCTTCCCCTCTTCCTCCTCCTGTCTCCTCTTGCTGACGGTGCAGGGAAGGAAGAAGAAAGACCCTGTGGTAAGAGGATGCTGCTTACACCCAGGAAGCACTGGGCTGTGACACCAGAGGTCCAGGCAGAGGAGCCTCAACAATCGGTCACCCAGCAAGCAGCCAGTGGCTCGTTGATCCAGCCGTTCCCCTCCATCCTTGCTGCCTGGACACACATTTGTCCCTGGAATGCACAGTTGGTGGTGTGGTCCTAGGCTTCATGTCTTCATCAACTCAGGAAAATGCCTCAGCTAGAACCGCCTGCTAGCACGTAAATTGAACAAGTGACAGAACACTCATTCTTCCACGGTGCAAGCAGTTTCTTCCTCAGTTCCAGCTGCTTCTCTTCTATCTGGTTCTCCTCTGTTCCAGCTACTCCTGTCCTAGCTACTCCTCCTCTGTTCCAGCTACTCCTCCTGTCCTAGCTGTTCCTCCTCTGTTCCAGCTGCTCCTCCTGTTCTATCTGGTTCTCCTCTTCAATCAGTGGTAACTGAGCAGCTATTTCTTGTGAGGTGAGGTGGGGGGAGCTATTTCTTGATTAGCCACATAAGGGTACTGCTTTTATTCCTGGCCATTTTAATATTGTAGCCCTAGGACCTCAGACCCCTCCTCTCACTCTCCCACAGTCTGCAAGCTGAATTCAAGAAAAGCCCACATGAATGACCTACTCAACTAGGAAGCTGTCTAGTAAGAAAAGTGCCACATGAAGGTGTTATCTGCTTCCCCGTCCATGTGAGAGAGCTTGGGATCGGTGCAGAATTAAAACATTAAAACACTTGGGCACCCAAAGATTTTACAAGTAGCGATGTATTCTAGAAAATATTTGGACATACATGAAAAAATTCAGTCTCAAGGATACTGTAATCAATCAACTGGTAAAGGGACAGACAAAATGTGGTCCACCACACCATGGGATGAGACCCATGGAAGGGGTGACACAGGCGACATCAGCAAAAGTAGTTGTGCTGAGTGAAAGAAGATAGACACAAGACACCCTGCAGTGTCTCGTTCCATTTGTACAAATGGTCAGGACTGTAGACAGGTGGCTGTGAGGAGTGGGAGTAGGGATTCACAATACATGGGCACGAGGGGTCTTTCTGGAGGGATGGAAATGTTCTAAAACCGACCTGTGGTGATGGTTGCACCACTTGGTAAAATTGCTAAAAATCTTAATTATATACTTGAAAGGAGTGACTTTTAGTATATGTAAAATATAGCTCAATAAAGTTGTTTTATTTTTTTTAATTTTTTTAAGGTTTATTCATTTTTCAGAGACAGAGCGTGAGTGGGGGAGGGGCAGAGAGAGAGGAAGACACAGAATCCAAGGCAAGTTCCAGGCTCTGAGCTGTCAGCACAGAGCCTGACGCAGGGCCTGAACTCACAGACTGCTAGATCATGACCTGAGCTGAGTTCGGACGCTTAACTGACTGAGCACCCAGGCGCCCCTCAATAAAGTTGTTTTAAATATATATATATATATATATATATGTATATATATATATATATATATGTCTTAAATATATATATTTGTGTGTGTGTGTTAAACATATAGAGGGAGAGGGAGAGAATGCTGTCGACTTTTCTGGTCCAACTGTAATGAGAAAACTCTTCACAGAGTTGTGAGACACTAGCACTGAAAGAAGTTACGGAAGAAGCTGAGGGACAGGAAAGCAAAGCCTGGATTGGTTCAGGGTGCCCCACAGGGTCTTAGGTGCCAACCAGCTCTGGCCAAGACCATCCTTCCCCCACTGGGGCAACACAGACCCTGGAGGATTGCAAGGCGGGGGTGTTGAATCTGTTTGTCTGTGTTATGGCTCATCTCCTGTGAAGTGCGGTGTGGAAACAGGGCTGAGGAGCAAGCCCAAAAGCCATGGCCACTGCCATCTCCTCCAGACTGATGTACGAACATGAGCCCTTCCCTCTAGGGTGATACAGGAGAGCCAGGTCCCCCCTCTCTGGGGTGATGCAGGAGGGGGAGGCACCCCCAATATGATGATGCCTGCCCTCAGGGTGCTGTCACCCTCTGTGGATATATTTTGATGATACTCTTTGGGAAATCTGTATGAGAAAATAAAGTAGGATGACATTATTCAATATAACAGTTTTCTCCCTGGAGTACCTGTGTGGCTCAGTTGGTTAAGCATCCAGGCCTCGATTTCAGCTCAGGTCATGTTCTTATGGTTTGTGAGTTCAGGCTCCACATTGGACTCTGCACTGACAGTGCAGAATCTGCTTTGAATTCTCTCTCTCTCTCTCTCTCTCTCTCTCTCTCTCTCTCCCTCTCCTCCGCTACCTCTCTCTCTCTCTCTCTCTCTCAAAATAGATAAATAAACCTAAAAAAAAATTCCCCTGAAGTGTGTTTAGGTACTGAGCACTCTTGATGCAACTAGAATAATCAGTTTTTACATATTTGTTCATGCCCTACTTTTCTAGAATGCACCTGTCCTGTAAGGTATGGCATGCTGACGTTTCCCACCAAAAATGGAACAAGTTCCCATTAGACCCCCTACTTTCACACGTGACTCCCTCCTTGTGTTTGTGGCAAGTTGAGCAGCTGCCTTCAACCCAGAGAAACAATTCGTCTTTGGGTGTCTTTCTGTTGTCCAGCCAGTGTTAACACCAACAGCAATGCTCTCCGGGCTCGTGCTCCTGGCTGGATTTCAGATGTGCTTGTTGAGCCGTTGTGCCCAGAGGGAGAAGGACAGCCGCCCAGCACAGGAGACCCGCCCAAGCAGGGACCCAGGAATATGCTGGAGGTCAGCCAGGAGCTCCTGCAGTCCGGGGTCGTCGTCCTCCCAGGTAAGCATGGCCACCTGACTCTGTTTGGGCAGCTATAACAAAACACCACAGACTGGATACCTTGTAGACAGCAGACCTCTATTTCTCTATTCTGGAAGCTGATAGTCCAAGATTCCAGCACAGTTAGGTTCTAGTGAGGGCCCCTCTTCCTGGTTCACACTCAACACCTTTTTCACTGTGTCCTCACATCGTGGAAGGGGCAAGGGAGCTCTCTGGGGTCTTTTTTTAAGGCATAAATTCCATTCATGGGACTCCACTCTCAAAATGTAAGCAACTCCAAAAGGCCACACGGGGGTTAGGTTTCACCATAAGGATTTGGGGGAACACAAACATGCAGCCCTTAGCAATGCCCACCTCCCTTTTAGGTGAGCACGGCTGCCACCTGCGCAGGTGACCTCCTCTCCCGGCAGATCTCACATCTAAGCCAATACGTCAACAGTGTGCAGGCTCTAGCGTGGTATTTCCCAAGCTTGAGGCCATGCATGTCCCCACTGGAGCTTCCCCCTTTCACGATGCCCTCTGTCTCTGCAGGGACCCGGGATCACCAAGGGAGAGCAGTGGTACAGGTCTGCACAACGAGCCCGCTCTGGTCCAGCAGACACAGCTCCAGCGCCGAGCTGACCCGCCTGTTGCGGTACCTCCACGGCATCCCCAGGTGGGACTGAGGCAGGTTCCCCCCCTGTCAGACCTTTGGGGTAATGCAGTGCAGGCTTCATGCAGGGGTCTCTGTCTGCAATCTCGAGGGCCCCTCGTGGCATGGGCAGCAAGCTCCCACCTGCCCTTCGGGCTCCTGCCAACTGGCCCCACCTCCCTTCCCCCCACCCCTCTTTTCCAGGTCCTCGGCTGTCCCTCGTGTGTTCCTCTCCTCCTGCTCACCCTGACCTCTCCCCACTGAATCAAGGCTCTGACACACACTCGAGCCCTGAATTCTGTGTTGCTCTGCAGTGTTCAGTACTTGCTCTAAGCATTATGTTTTACACTCCATGTCTTTTGGGATAAAGACCTGAACTGATATAGACAGAATATTTAGAATAAGTAGGTGAAGAAATCATACCAATGAGTAGTACCTGGTTCCCAGAAGCAGGAAGGACCGATGCATTCTAACTGAGCCTTATGTTCAGCTTGGCAATGCCACATGCCAGGAAGCAAGTACAAGCTCCTGGAGACAGACATGACCTCCCTGGCACAAAATTCCGGGAAACCACACCTCCTGGATCCTGCGTGACAACAACGTGTGGAACAGGTCTGCATAGGTGAAGTTCTCTGGAGCGTGGCTTCAGATCTCTTACGGACCAAGGACAGAGACGGGAGAGCGGGAGTCAAGGGTGGCTGAAGCGTGTTCTTTTGTAGTACTTGACCCCATCAGATGCAGGCATGGTTTGGATGGCCCTTATGGCGCCCAGACCAAGAGTCCCCTAGGTGCTGGGTGGAGGCAGCCTGTGGAGGCGGCGGCATTGCCCAGCCCTCGAGCTTGGTTCTAAGGTCAGATAGCCCGGCTCCAAATCCCAGCTGTGCCCTTACTGGCTAGGGTGGATGGTGCAACTCCATAAGCCTGTTTCCTCCGCATAACCGGGGATGGTACTAGTTGTCTCAAAGGTGCACAGAGGGATTAGAAATCATCTGTGTAAAGTACGTAGAGTCCAGAGCATCATTTTCGTGACCCATCCCACGATGCAGTCTCACTAAGTGCCAGTGACAGAATGCATATCACATGAGGTGAGCTCATGTGGGAAACATGTTGCATGAAGCCTCATCACATGTGATCTTTGCTCTTTGTGCTGCCTCAACTTTATATTGAAATTTCTTCTGAAATAGCATAGGTAGAATCAGTGCGGGAACAATTAGGCAGGAAAAGAAAGTGTGCTCCCTGACCCCCCCTTTCCCAGAGCAAGGTTCCCCGTTATCTGATGACGGGCCCTCGGATGAGCCTGGGATTTCAAACTTAACTTTCAGCACAGACTTCAAAATACAAAAAAAATACCCTGAAAAAAAAAATACAGATTCACCCTCACATTAGCTTATACTTAGTGAACCTCAGGTAAACACCAAAACTCTAAGTTAATGGCATTTTGTATTTGCCAAAAGCTTTCTTTTAAGGGAGGGTCAAGAATTGACTTGGGGTCACACTGAAAAGCAATCCTGATTGACAAGGACGAAAGCCTCCTGTACTTTTTGGGGTGTGTACCATTCTGTATGCTCAGCCTGGTTTACCTGTAAGGCCGAGTGCTGTTCTCTCCCTTCTATAATGAAACACCAACAATAGGGGCTAGGGTACCAGTAGGGATTGGCAGGGCCAAGACTTGACCTTGGTTCTGCAGCCCTGTGACTTTTCCACAGAAAATTCAGATGACTCCACTCCCCTCCCAGAGCAGATATGTTCACCAGCTCGTGAAGCTCCGGGGGAAAGCCTATGTCGAGGAAAACCTAAATTATCTAAAGCACTTAGCGTAATTCAGGCTGGAGCCTCATGGCTTGGTTGGTTGTTTCTCCACAAGCATTGTAACTTGGTTAGCATCCTGATTGCCTATTGCACCTTGAGGAGCTGAAATCCACCTTGTGGGATATGACACGAGCCTTCGGCGGTCAGAATGAAGTACCCGAGGTGTCAGCACTCATTACTAGGAAGAGTGCCCAGCAGTGTGTGGTCAACTGTTACTGCAGCTGAGTTATAGGGTGAGCGTGCCTTGTGGATAGACTTTCATCAAACTCTTAGATACACAGAATCTTAAAATTAGAGTGGATCTTGGCTGTCATCCATCTAACGTCCTGTGCAATGGAGGAATCCATCCATCCGTCCATCCATCTACCACTTACTTGGGAATACAAAAGAGGACAGGATATGGGTCTTACCCTCTAGGAGACACTCATGCGAACGAACCCAAACTGTCGTGTCTCCCGACATAAGACAAGCCCACAGTGCTGGGAGGGAGCTGCAGCCTCAGCCGGGGGTGGGGACTTCCCGACATGTCTGTGTCCTTGAGCATGGCGAGTATCTGCAGACAAGAAGGGAAGGACATTCTGAGCAGAAGGAAGAACATACACAAAGCCCCAGAGCAGCTGGTCACTTTCTGAGCAGGAGGCAGGAGTGAGGACTGAAGACTCCATGTGGGCAGCCTGTGCCCCTGGCTGTGGCATGAAGGCCACACTTACCCAGCGTACTGCAGATGGAGAGGCCAGGGTGGCGCAGGAACGCAGTCTGCAGAAGTGCAGACCCAGGGTGTCTAGGGCAGGTCCGCACATTGCCAGGGGCCCCAGGGGAGCCAGGCTGGGGGCGGCTGCAGGCTGCCTGTGCACGAGCGTGAGGCAGGGGGCGGAGCAGTTAAGCCAGCCAGCTCCATCTACCACAGGAGGCAGGCAGAGAGAGAAGCAAGTTTTGTGTGGGGGTTCACGCTGGGTGGTCTGGGGGCATTCCCCCCCTTCTAATCCCGAACTGGTGTTTACGCGGGAACGAGTCAGTGGGTCCCTCCCAGCCAGTGGAGGACCCAGCAGTCCTCGAACCCAGGAAGCAGCCCCCAGGGAAGGGCTGGCTTGTCCCCTCGGCGGCCTCCCCTTCAGCAAAGCTGCCAAGTGGATGAGATGGGTAGAGGAGAGCGTGTGGTCTGGAGCCTGCAGGGGTAAGTTCCCACGCTGAGCAAGCCTTTGTGGTGGCGGCAAGACCTGGTCCTGCCTCTGAGGCCAGAAGCAGACTTTGAGACGCAGATGCAGGCACCACGGGAGACTTCGGGGATGAAGAGAGAGCGGGGTGGGGTGTCGGAAGAGGGAGGCCACTGGGGAGCAGGAGGGACACCGGAAGTGGAAGCGGGCGTCCTGCCCGGCTCCTGACAGCACTGCCGGGACCGCTCCCAGAGACGTAGACGCCAGTGCTCCAGCCACCAGGAGGCAACGTGGTTTCTGCAGCAGAGGAGGCCTGGGCGCTAAGCTGGCAGGCTGAGGGGGGCGCTGAGATGGGGGTGTTCTCCCAGCTTGTCTTTCCTGAATCTGGCTTTGATGCCGGAACACCACTCTCTACTCTGGCCTCAGTACACTCGCTTCCCCGAGAAGCACCCCCTTCAGAAGTATTCTTTAGCAGCCACGCCGAAATCGAACACACCCTGACTGTGGGGCACACTCGCCCTTTTGGCCAGGACATGGCTTTGCTGTGATGTGCAGTTCGACCAGCTTTGTGTGAGCGGGCCGGAGTGAGCATGCTGTCTCAGACCAGCACCCACACATACGGCTGAGGTCGAATATTAGTGATCCTGGAAGGTGGGGCTGGAGAAGCTTGCCAAGGAACAGAAACTTTGGGAATAGATACATCGCTTCGCCCTAGCCTATTGTTTTGTCCTATTTAGATCTAAAGTTTAGGGGCGCCTGGGTGGCTCAGTCAGTTAAGCGTCCAACTCTTGATTTCAGCTCAGGTCATGGTCTCATGGCTTGTGAGATCAAGCCCCGTGTCGGGCTCTGTGCTGACAGCATGGAGCCTTCTTGGGATTCTCTCTCTCCCTCTCTCTCTGCCCACCCCCCCTCAAAATAAATAAATAAACTTTAAAAAAATAACTAAAGCTTACCATCATCACAGTGGGGAAAGAGCATTTTTTTAAACTTAAAAAAAAATTTAATGTTTATTTTTGGGAGACACAGAGCACAAGTGGGGGAGGGGCAGAGAGAGAGAGAGAGAGAGAGAGAGAGAGAGACAAGAATCCGAAGCAGGCCCCAGGCTCTGAGCTGTCAGCACAGAGCCCGACGTGGGGCTCCAACCCACAAACCAGGAGATCATGACCTGAGTTGCAGTCAACACTTAACCAACTGAGCCACCCAGGTGTCCCCTTTTTTGTTTTTGTTTTGTTTTGTTTTAGAGAAAAAGTGTACGAGCAGGGTGAGAAGGGAGGCAGAGGGGATCTTAAGCTCCATGCTCAGCATTGAGCCCGATGTGGGGCTCAATCCCACAACCTTGGGATAATGACCTAACCAAAGTCAATAGTCAGACACTCAACCAACTGAGCCTCCCAGGCACCCCAGGGCTTTTAAGTGGGGTTGTGAAAAGCACCTGGCAGTATTTTCAGCTTTAGAGGCTGTTCTGCTGTCCCACTTTAGCTCTGAAAATGTGATGAGCCAAATGACTGGTCTTGAGAACAACCTGGTCCTTGTTCACGCCATCAGAGTGAATTCCATGTCGTATTAAAGCCTGAACAAACAATCAAAGCTCTGGGGGAGGGTGGTGGGGAGAGAAAGCAACCCCAGGAGATGCAAACGTGCGGCCAGCTCCACTTGCCTGGAGAGGCTATCGGACAGGACTGACCCACCACAATGGGCTCCACTGCCCTTTCTCCCCCCAGCAAGCATCTTGATTCCTCAGAAAGTATAGACATGTGTCAGGAATCTCGAACTTGTAGAGCCAGGGGCATCTAGGCAAGGATGTATCTTCCCGAGAGATGAAGAAGCTCATTTTGGAAGAGATTTCACCTGCAATGGTTAACACAGTCTTTCTGTCTCCAGGAAGGAGGTGCGGGAGCTGGGGCTGGTCATTCTGGTGGACGCTCGCAAGGGTCCGGCCACGCCTGCTCTCTCCCGGGCCCTGGCAGGACTTCAGGTGAGTCAGGGCAACTCCTGTCCTTGGGGGGCTTAGCATCTCAAGGCTGTGTGGGCCACAAGGGGCGCCTTCATGCCCCAGGAGCAGCTGAGAATGAATCTCAGGATGAGGTGAGCGTCCTGAGTGTAGACACCGAAAGCAGCCAAGAGCCCACTCCTGTATCCATCAACAGTGTGCTCCCTCGAGGTCGGGCAGTTACCAGGTAGGAGTTTCCTGCCCACCTCCTGGGGTTACCACTGCAGACCTTAAAAGAGGACCAGCCAGGACCGGCCCATGCAGGCATGACCCCTTCCCTCCACAGCAGCTCCTATCCGGCGTCATGTGCAAAGCACTGTGCTGGGGTCTGGGGTCCCACCTTCTCCCTCAGTTAAGAGCTGTTCTCTCTGTTGGGTCTCTGCTAACGCTGCCAGACTCGGGTCACCGCTCTCTCCAGATTCCTGAGTCTGGGGACGTCAAATGGAAGTTCTTCCCGGGAAAGACTCCATGGTAGAGGATGGGGCACATCTGGAAGTGCACGGGGTCAGCTAGAGAGCAGTGTGTGGGGAAAGGAGAGAAGAGCCCGGGCAGGCAGGCCGACTATGCGTGGAGCAGGGGCTGGGGGAGGCCAGGCCTAGGTGGGAGCGCGGCAGCGGGGAAGGTTAGCAGCAGAGGACGTGCCTGGTCAGGGTGCTGGCGGTGGTGCAACCCCTGTCGCATGCACGAGTGAAGTAGCAAATTCCCGAGGAAGAAACGGCCGACCCAGAGGTGCAGGTCAGGGCAAGAGCTGGCTCTCAGAACAGAGCTCACTGCATTTCAGTGGGAGAAGCGGGCTCTCAGCAGACGGGGGCACAGTGCCTACCTTCAAAGCCCAAGTCAGCAGCTCGAACACGGAGTGACAGGTTTGACGCGCTAAAATTCAGTTTCCACGAAGCACTTTGGAAGCACATAATCCCTGTTGCTCATTTCCCCTGCTTTCAACCAACGGCTCGGCTCAAAAATCAGAATCCAGGATATAATCCAATTTGATGCTCATATTCTGCTCAAGGCTTTGAAATCCCTTTGAGGTTCTGTTTTGTTTTTTTTTTTAACCACGTGCAATTTTGTATACCAACAAAGACTGAGAAGTTGCTGGAAGTCTTCTGGGAAGTTAGGCTAATGTCCGCTTTTCGAACATTTTGAGGGAAGGTCTGCTGAAAGGACAAACAGCCGTGTTGGTGACTACAGGGTTTCCCAGGCGTCCTGTGATTTTGCAGAAAGAAGGTGTTAATCTGGAGGCCTGGGCGTGGCAACCAGAGTGGACAGTAGGGTGTGCTTTATGTGTGTCTGAGACGCACCCTCCTCAGGAGCGAATGCCTCACACCAGTTAATCACCTCAGCACCCTATACGTTGCAACTTGTGAAAGCAGGGGAGAAAAACAACTTTTCTTTGGTTTTGCCTTCAAAACCAAGCTAAAATGTCACTGTGGCTGACCTGAGTTTGAAGCCGCAACCGGAAGTTGTGACCGGATTCCTAGAAAGCGTCTGTCTGCTTCCTGTGCTGGTGGGAACAGCTCACCGTCCTGATGAGGGGGTGTGGGGGCTGCCCAGTCGGCCAGCGGAGTCCAGCCGGAGCGTGAGGGAGCGTCTCTCGGCCTCCGCCTGCCTGCCGCCCGCGCTGTCTCCTCAGAGTGTCCTCCACCCTCGGCCCCAGGGGTGGCCGTGGGCAAGGGGTCCTGCTTCTCATATGCCGGGTCCCCGGGCTCCTCCTCCTCGGACCTTTTCCAGCCCCGCTCACCCGGGTCACTTTTGTCCTTACTGCCTGGAGGCGGCTTTTGATGAGGAGGGCTTGAAACTTGTTTTCAGGGGAAGCCTGGAATCCAGCAGCAACTTGCCGCCGGGCCCAGGAAGGCCAGCTGGTGGTGATGGAGCCTCTGGCTCTTCGCCGGCGGGGAGGTTGGGGGGGCGGGGGGGGCACGTGCGGGGCGAGTCTGAACCCTGTGGCCAGAGCCCTGTGAGGCCGGCAGGGGCTGTGCTGGGGCACCTTTCACAGCAAGGGACTCAGGGAACTCTGATAGCGCCTTGTCATTCCCGGACCGGTATTGAGAGACGAGGTACAGATTCCAGGGCAGGATCATGGGCACACACCCGGGCAGGTGCACAGTGAGGCCCTGTGCCCAGGGTAGGGCTGGTCCGGAGGGATCAGTATCACCATCTCCGCTCCCGCAGGATGTCCCTGTGCTGCGCCCAGCATGGCACTGACTTTGTGAGAGGTTACTTGAGTCCTAGGAAGAACACTGCACACGCAGCCGCCTCGCCGTGCTGTGTCATATGCATGATGCGTGTGGGACCTGGAGCACAGCGGGGCCGCGTGACCAGGAAGATGCTGACGCAAGTCTGCAGCGTCTGCGGGCATTTCCTGAAGTCAGGACTGTGGCGGTTCTGCTGCTTTGGCACCCGATAAAAACTTGCAACTTAAGTGTCTGGTCTCAAACAGAGATGGCTGAGCCCTCCCTGCCGATGCACAGGCTTAGCGTCCTCTTGTTCTGCTGTGCGTGAGACCCAGGCAGGGCCCACGTGTAGGCCTAGAGCCCTTCAGCTGTCGACCAGAACCGCTTACCTTTTATCTTTGTAAACACACCCCTTCCCGACGTTTCTGTTTGTTCAGATTTCCCTTAAGTCCTGTGCCACTTGGGTCCCACAGCGGGACAATGAGCCCCAAGTAAGATGGCCCCCTCCACCCACAGCTCTCCCCAAGCAGAACCTGGAGAAACTTCTGCTGCATCTGTAACTTTTTACCAGAAGCAAATCTTGTAAGGAACTTCAGGAAATCAACTTCTCTTCCGTTGTCTGGATGCTGGCATTTGGACTGCCCTGAGGCCTGGAGGCTTCCCGTTGTGGCAGGTGTCGGCCTCCCAGCCCCCTGGCTTTGGCTCAGCAACAGCAGGGTTTGTTCTCCGAGTGAGAGGCATGAACATAAGCTCGAGTTTGAGGGTTATGCTTCCATTTTCAATTTCATTTCTGAGTTATATACAGAAGTAGTTAAATTTTCTCACAGAAACTACCTCAAGAAACTATACTTCAGCTTTTTTTTAATTATTAAAGTTCAAATACCATCAGAAGCTTTCCATTTCAAAAAGTAACTAATGATTTCTTCTTTTCTTGGTAGAAGAAAATGCTAACAATTGCTGATTCCTACCCCATCCACAGCACAACTTCTGCAAACTGATACCGACAATTGTCCTAAGGCACTAATTGTGTTCTCACTTCTTGGCAATAGCGACAAATCCTAATAGTAAAAATTCACTCAAGGAGTTATATATGAGAAATATAAAACACTTTGCAAAACTGTTTGTAGTTTTAATTCCTTATAACTGAAAATTGTAGCTAAACTGCATGAGAGAAATAGAATATGACCATGAAATAAAAAAGCAAGAATATTTTTCTATGGGTTTTTCTATGGCTTATTCACCCAACAAATATTTATGGAATGTCATCCACAAGAAGTCACATAAAAATGTAAATATATAAGATGAATTTGATACAAATAAAAAATATCAGTAATTTCTGAGGCCTATCCAGTCAAAATAGCGGATCAAAATCGGAGATTACAAAAAGTGTAAACTCTGTTTATCACTATGAGAAACTATTAAAAAGTAAAGCTTTGGGGAATATGAGTGAAGGAGCACTATGTACATAAAAGAATTTCATTGCTGAACAATCTGGCCTCAATACAATCTAGCAAACAGAAACGGAAAAGGTTTGTTTAAAGTCATAAACACATCAAAAAAAAAAAAAAAACAAGGTTGGAACAATTGGACATCTCTATGCAAAAGAAGCAAAAATCCTCAACACATACCTCATACAATATAAAAAATTACACGTGGCTCATAGATCTTCATGTACAATCTAAGACTACAAAAGCATCAGAAGGAAACAGGAGAAAATCTTCGTGTCCTTGGTCAGGTAAAGATTTCTTAGCTACGACAACACCATGATCCTAAAAGAAAAACAGGGTAAGTTGGACTTCATCAAAATGGAAAACTTTTCCTCAAAAGTCACCATTACTAAAATGAAAATGCAAGCCGCGAGGCAGGAGAAAATGCAAAACAGATCTGATAAAGTTCTGATCTGTATATATCTGGAATATACAAAATCTCCAAACCCAGTAATAAGACAAACAACCCAATGAAATAAGGGCAAAGATTTGAACACACTTCACCAAAGAAGACATATGAATGGGAAATAAGCACATACAAATGTGTTCAACATCAGCAGTCATTGGAGAAATGCAACTTATGCAACAGAATGAGGTAACACACACACACACACACACACGCACACGCACACACACACAGACACAACAAAACTTGGCAATAGCAAGGGCTTGGCATCGCTCATGGAAATGCAAAATGGCACAAGCACTCTGGTTTCTTCAGAAGTTAGACATGCATTTATCATATGACCCAATAATCCTACTGCTAGATATTTACCAAGAGGAATGAAAACTCACGTTCACATGGAGGTTATAGTAGCTTTATTTATGATTGCCACAAACTGGAAATAACCCACATGTCCTCCAGCTGGTGAATGGGTGAATGCATGCTATGGAATACTACTACGTGGTAGAAAGAAATGAACTACTGACATCTACAGCATGGATGCATCTCAGATGCATTGTGGTAAGTGAAAGAAGTCAATACTATATGAATCTACGTATTTGATATCCTAAAAAGACAAACTTATTGAGATAGAAAACAGATCAGTAGCTGCCAGAGGTTGGTGGGCTCAACAAAGGAGATAAGGTAATTTGGGGGACGCTAAACTGTTGTGTATCTTGACTGTGGTGGTAGTTACGTGACTATAAGTTATATCGAAATTCAGAGAACGCTACATTAAAAGGGTGAATTTTATTCTATGTAAATCATAACCAATAAACTTGATTACATTAAAAATTCATAAGAGCAAGTAACTTACATTTAAGGCACAATTACATATTATGCATTCTAGGTACCAAGGAAGAAATAGTACCCACCTAACCTAGACAACTCTATAAACTCAATGAAGTAAAAAATTACAAAGCTAATCAGTATTTCTTTCTTATTTCAGAACACAGCTCCTCCCATAATTCATAGTATTGTGTTCTTGATGAATAAAGAATCAGCATTTAGGCCTGACAAGGATGGAATAATTCAGGTAATAGTTTCAGACCCTCAGCATTAGATATGACTCTGAGTGATGCATACAAGTAAATATTACAGTACCTACATGAGATAAAACAAATGGGAAGCTTCATGTAAGTTGTGACTGCATCCATATAAGAGCCTGAAAACCCATCTGTGATTCCCTAATTATTTGCAGGAGCCGTACAGAGCAAAATATCAGAAAACTTGTGAAAATCTAATTTTTCTTATCCACCTCATTTGTTTTCCCTCTTCTTTCTTCTTGCTTCTTTCTCTTTTATCTAAAAACTCTTTATTATGCCTTGAAGGGTTTTTTGCTAGGTATGGGATTCTGACCTGACAGTAGTTTTTTGTTTGTTTTTCCAGCACTTTACAGGTGTCGTTCTGTTGTCTTCCGGCCTCCATAGTTTCTGATGAAAAGTTTGTTGGAATTCAAATAATTGTTCATCTATAGAGTATGTGTCATTTTCCTTTGGTTACTTCCAAGATTTTCTCTTTCTTTTCAGAAAATTGACTATAATGTAATTAGGCATGGTTTTCTTCATATTTACCCTGTTAGGTTGGGTAAACTTGAATTTTTAAATTTATGTCTATCACCAAATTTAGGAAGTTTTCATTCATTATTTCTTGAAATGTTTTTTCTGCCTCATTCTCTCCTCTTGCTCTAGGATTTCAAGTACACATACTGATATTGCCCCATAGGTTTTTGAGAATCTTTTTTTCCCCCAATTTTTTTCTCTCTCTTCTTCAGATCAGATTGTTTCTGTTGATCTGTCTTCAAGGTCACTAACTCCATACTCTATTCACCTCCATTCAGCTGTTAAGCCCATCCAATGAATTTTTAGTTCAGATATTGTATTTTTCAACTATAAAATTTCTGGTAGGTTTTAAAATACATTTTCTCTGTCTCTGCTAAGATTTCCTATCCTCTCATTAATTGCAAGCATTTTTCCTTTATACCATTGAGCATAGTCATAATTGCTACTTTAAAGTCCTTCTTTAATAATTCTAACATCCAGGTCTTTTCTGAGTTGACCTCTGTTGATTGTCATTGCCCTTGAGAACAAGTCACATTTTTTCTGCTTCTTCATATGTCCAGTAATTTTGTGTTGTATTCTGGACATGTGAATATTCTATTGAGTATTATTCAATATACTGACTCTGGATTCTATTACAAACCTTTAGCATGCTGTTAACTTGGTTGCACTTGAACTGAAAACTGCCCCCTGTGTAGGTCCAGCTCATTTCTTTTTGCCTTCAGCTGCCCAGAGTCTTTCCCATGCATACTTGGTTCAGGGTCAGCCAGAGTCCTGGGTAGGGTTTACATATGACTGGAGCTCCCTTTCCCTGGCTTTCCACCTTGTGGGACTCAATGTCCACATTCCTCCCTAGCTCTATTTTCTGGATCTTCAGGCCAGAAAGATGCCTGTTTTTTATCAGAGCCTTAGTCAATCCAGTCTCAATGTGTTGGCATCCCACCTTCAGGCCAGAGCCATGCAAACAGGGAGCTCACCCCACACTGATCCCTTCATCCACGTTTCAGTTGCCTTGCTCACTAAGTCTGGCTTTGTTCACCCTCTGGAGCTTTCCAGTGGTTCTTATACTTTGTCTGGAGTCATCTGGGAAGGGCCAACTCTGCCCTCTCAGAGTGACGCATCTCTGATTCCTCACCATCCCTTCCTCCTCTTGACCATTCCCATCTCCCCTGTTATCTTGCCCTCTCTTTCTTTTCGATTTTTCCATTTTTTGGTCTTAGTTGGAAGCTTTCTATCACTCTCTTTTCTGCCGTTTCCTTTCATTCTCCACACCTTCATTCCTATGCCCAACCACATGCAGCCCATTAATGCCACCAGCAAGGTAGAGTCACTGGATCCTAAACCTGCCTCTCAGCCCTCTTGGTGGTAGTTCTCCCAGGAGTGAGCCATCGCAGTGGTCTTTCCGATGGATGCCTCTGTGGCCATAACCAATAAACACTTCTCCTTGGCAGTGTGAGGTGGTGGGCTCCCTGAAGGCCTTGCACAAACTTGTTGACAGCTCCCAGCTGACTGCAGACCTCGATGGCTCTTTCCCCTACAGCCACAGTGACTGGATCTGCTTCCGTAGGGTAAGGTGCAACTTACAGCCACTGTACCTGCCAGTGTCCTAGGACTTCTCCTCATGCAGATATTTTTACTCACACCTGAAGCAGGTGTCCCCACCCTGAGTGTCACGCCTGTCACAGCTGCCATTCACAGGCTGTTGGACAGCCACACTGTGGCAGGCTTGGGAGTGCCACTGAAGTCCAACCCTGGGTGGGGAGGGTGCTGCACCCCGGTGCATCTGTGGGCACTAACTGTATTATCGTCTCTTACCTCTACGGCCACGATAGAAGCTGGAGCCCTTTACCACAAACTGTGAGGATGCCATTGTTTTCCTGCAAAATTCAGTCCGATCCCTAAACACCCACAGGACTCTGAGCACAGCACAGGTAGGTTCTCATGTATTTTGTTTTGTTTTATTTTATTTTATTTTATTTTATTTTATTTTATTTTATTTTATTATTTTATTTTATTTTATTTCACAGGTAGGCAGGTGGGAACATAGAGGCTTAGCCAAACCCACCACTCTTAGCTGAGATTTTCAAACCCTTTTTGATTTGCAAATCCCTTTCACTTAGCAAAAGACTTCCAAAAACCCACTTCCTCCCCATTGTGACCAAAAAAATCCCACCATGCCCAGAAGAGAAACAACACCACTATATTTGTTGGTGTGCCGCCGAGACCTGAGTGAGTGCTACTGGGACACAGAAGTGGACTGTCCAGAAGGACCTCAACAGCCCAGACACCTGGGGCTGAGATGCCTTGGGGTTTCCAGGGTGTGTGGGTGAGGTCTGTGCATCGCTGTCCAAATGTCAGGCTCTCCTGCTGCCAAGTTTCAAGCTTCCCTCCTTTCTCCTGCCCCAAGTTTCACCCATCCTTGGGTGAGAGCATCTGGGACTCCGCTGCCTTCCTGCTGGGGCCAGTGTCAAGTGTGGGCACGGCCAGCCCGCCCTGCTTTCAGCTTGACTGATAAACACGGGAGTGCGGGTCACACTCCAACGCTCCTCATGGAGGAGGCGGTTCTATGTATGCTTCTCCCACCCCGTGCAGGAGGTCACAGACCTAATCAGCCAGCACAAGGAGACAATGAAATGTGTGCTGGAAGACGCACTGCTGGTCGCCCTCCGCTTGGAGGGTGGCACTGTGCTGGCGCGGCTGAGGAGGGAGCAGCACGGTGCCGGCCAAGACTGCCGGTGAGTGTCACGCTGGGGCAGCGCGTCCCAGGGGTGACGCCTGTCTCTGCCACACGCAGCGTCTCCCAGCTGTTCAAACTTCCTTCCTTCTGGCAGGCACTCTTTGGACGGGAGCCTGTCTACACTGGTATCCTCTAAGGGAGAAGTAGCAGGTTCCTTGGAATGCTCAAGTGGAGGGCAAAACTCACCATAATGGGATTCAGGGATTCAGCAGTCAGAAGTCCTGACCCAATGCTTCTCTGACTCCGTCCTGGGGTGCCACTCGCTCACTTTTCCCTACCCCTACCACCTCGGAGGCACCTGCAACTCGTGGCTCCTGGGCTCGCTCCTGTCCCTGCTGTGGCTGTGGACCTCCCTGGGGCATTCTGTTTGTGTCAGATGTGAGGGATGCAAAGAGGGCGGTTGTGGCTCTTTAACTTGGGGTGTGTTTAGCATAGTAACAAGTTTCAAAACTGAAAATTCTGGATCCATTTTTCTTTTTTTTTTTAAGATTTCTTTTTTTTTAATGTTTATTTATTTTTGAGAGACAGAGAGAGACAGAACACAAGTGGAGGAGGGGCAGGGAGCGAGGAGGACACAGATTCTGAAGCAGGCTCCAGGCTCTGAGCTGTCAGCACAGCTGTAGGTTGTCACCAACAGCACGTTCGCTGGGTGATTGCCTGTGAACAACTAGTGGTCGCGGGTTGCTCTCTGACACTCTCTCTTCCAGGGATGCCATCGAGGTTGCCTCCAGGCTGTACGATCAAGTAGACGAAGAGGTCCACAAGGTGGTCCTTGCCTCCAACAGGTGTCTGCAGGAGCTGGAGAGGCTACGGGAAGCGAGGGTGCTCCAGGAGGGACAAGGGCAGGTAAGTGCTTTCAGTCAGAGGAACCAAGAGAGAAAAACATTTTGAAACCCTGCACCTGAAATAACCGACGTTAACGTGCAGTGTGTTATAATCCGGACTTTTCTCCGTGTACATATGCATGTAAAAGCTTTTCGGAAGCCTGCACACGTTCTTGCTTAAATCCTTATGCTTTTGTCAACCGCTCTTTCCATGTAAGTGAATGTGACACAGGAGCCCACGCACAGCCAGCGGTCAGTGTGAGGCAAGGCCAAGAATGGCTGGAGGCCCATGTGTCCCTTTGGGGCAGTTAGGGTTGGGGGGATGGCCACTGGCAGGGCATCCCCAGGCTGAACCCCCAGCAAGCACAGTGGCATGTGGAGGCCTCCCGTGGCTCTGGCTCTCCTCTTATACACACCAGTGACTGCATTTTCACACTTCGTGATCATTTGCTGTGGACAGGTTCCTAGGCTTGAGACGGCTGGGTCAGGGCCCACAGTGTGTGAGGTTTGTACACATTTGCCAAATGGTCCTGCAAACAGCCTGCCCAATTTAGATTCTCAGCAGCAGCCTGGAGCACCCCTTCCTCACTGAAGTGAAAAGAAGTACCTCCTCCTTGTTTGCGTTTGGGATTTTTATGCTAGAGGTGAACTCTTTCTTCATCTGTTTATTGTTATTTTTACTTATTCTCTAACAAATGGCTTTTCCCTGCACTGGCCAGTTCCTGCAGGTCAGAAGTTTTACTACTAGGCATATTACTCACACTGAGCCTCCAATTATGTGGCAGATGTGTTCCCCAGCTTGTCATTGTCCCTCAACTTTGCTTGTGATTGAAATGGCTTTTGCTACCTTAAGGTCACAGAATGACTAATATAGTCCATCATAAGACTTTCGTGGTTTGAATTTTCCCAATTACATCTTCCATCCAACCAGAATATTTTTCATGAGGTTGGAGGTGGGATCCCGTCCCTGAGGGGCCTCCGCTCCATTGATCATTTCCCACTCTTCTGCCCAGGGGCTCTCATGCTGCTTGTGTTTGTAAAAACCCAGATTGGACATTTTTCTATATGACTCTGTCCACAAAGAGTGTGTGCTGATCTCTCTTCTCTGCATGTGCATCAGTGTCACTAAGTACGGTTATGTGGCCTTGGATCCAGCCCATCACCACGTTGGTGAAAACCTCTTCTTGGGCCCCTAACAACCAGGTGTCCTTGGCATTGCTATCTAATGAGAACATGCATGAAAATAAAGTCTTAACCCCCAACGTGTTCACTGTTCATGAGTGATCTTGCCACGGGATGCTGTGTGGTGCAGGCAGGGCCACCGTCAGCCCCTCCGGCTCCCACAGGCAGCCCCTCAGGGTCCTACTGCCACCAGCCTGAAGAGGATTCTAGGGTATGGTTAGCATAGTAACAAGTTTCAAAACCGAAAGTTCTGGATTCATTTTTCTTTCTTTCTTTTTTTTAAAGAAGATTTTTTTTTTTTTTTTTTTTTTTTGCATAGTAACAAGTTTAAAAATGGACAGTTCTGGATCCTTTTATCTTTCTTTCTCTTTTAAAAAAGATTTCTGTTTTTTGCATAGTAACAAGTTTAAAAACAGAACGTTCTGGATCCTTTTTTCTTTTTTTTTTTAAAGAAGATTTTTTTTTTTTTTGCATAGTAACAAGTTTAAAAACGGAAAGTTCTGGATCCTTTTTTCTTTCTTTCTTTTTAAAGAAGATTTCTTTTTTTTGCATAGTAACAAGTTTAAAAATGGAAAGTTCTGGATCTTTTTTTCTTTCTTTTTTCTTAAAAGAACATTTTCTTTTTCTTTTTTTAATGTTTATTTTTGAGAGAGAAAGAGAGACAGAGTATGAGCAGGGGAGGGGCAGAGAGAGAGGGAGGGAAACATAGAATCAGAAGCAGGCTCCAGGCTCTGAGCTGTCAGCACAGACCATGAGATCATGACCTGCGCCTGAGACGGTGCTTAACTGACTGAGCCACCCAGGCACCCCTGGATCTATTTTTCAGTGGATCTTAATTTCCATTTATAAACCATGAAAAAGTTACAAATCTGAGCCATGGAGATTTGTGGTCAACCCTCTTCAACCAGAGCATGTCGATTCCCATCCACAGACTGAAGGGAGCGTGTGTGTAAAAGCAGGGGTCACAGATCTTGTGGCGTGGCCTCCGTTGCTATGCAGCTGCTTCCGATTTATTTAAGGTGCACCGCTTGTGTGCATCAGGATGGGGTGTGCGGGCTGTCGGAACCAAGTGAGCCAGTGCCTGAGTGGCATCTGCTGCTTCCGGTGTCCCCGCGATCACAGAGCTGGACTCCTTCACATGATTAAAAATAAAGCCTTGTTTTTCCTACATAGATCAAATTGTGGTTTGAAAAAGGAGAGAAATTCCTGGCCTCGTGGAGCTGCTCTGTCTTGAGAACATGCAGCAGCAGTGGGGGTCCTAGACCTTCCACAACAGGCTGATGGCATGCACACAACAGAGGACACACACACAAAAGCAGAGTAAGCACCAGGCTCATGCTGGTAGTTTGCTCCTTGGACGACTGCAGTATTGTCAGAAATATTGCAGCTGGTAGAGAACAGCTCCCAAGGCACAGGGAAAGCGACCCTGGACTTGAGAAGGTGGCTGCGCACCGTGTCCAGCTGGGCTGAGCAGACGGAGGGGGAGCTGGCCGGGGGGCCCACCTCTCTGACTTCTATGAGGCCGTGAGAAGCCCAGTGGAATCACCTCCAGGGAATCTGCATGTGCTGTGGACATTTAGTGAGCACCGTCCCCTGCAGGCCTGAGTGGGTCAAGCTCTGAGACAGCTGGCCAGCATGCCCCAGCACTGCACCCCAGGCTCTCAGCCACCATGTGAGGAGTTTATTTATTGTACCAGGCAGAGAGGCAGAACGAACATGTGAACTTTTCTCCACTTACCGGCTCAGCTATAAAAGTCTACTTATTGCCAGAGACCCCCAAACAGTCGCTGCAACACAGCCCGTGGCTGAAAATTCACCAGCACCCCAGAATTGCCTGGCTGTTAGGGCTGCCGGGGCCAGAGCCCTCGGGAGCACAGCTCCTTGAGTGGGATCCAAGTGGTCAGGGAAGGCCAGGGCAGGGGGAGGAACCACTGCCACGGCCTCTCACACCCGTCAGAAGTGTGGAATCGCTGATTTCATGGTCTGTCCAGCCCTGGCATCCCGGGGCCCTGGGACAACCCCACCTGCTGCTCTTGGGGACTGTGGAGGATTCAGACCCCTTTGAGCTCATGCACAAAATCATCTTGCCTACTCTTGGGCCGAGTCTGGCTAGCAGCTGCCTCTGTGGGCAGAGAGGTCTTCCTCTTGTTCTGACCATCTGGCTCTCCCCGGTGCTTGATATGGAGAACCTGGAGAGCAGAAGGAGCATGACCTGGGTTCACTTGAGCTGCTCATCGGCTACATGAGTTTGGGTGGGGCCGACAGTGCTCCACTGCCCTGACCAGCACCCTCTTTGCCGTGTAGGTGGATGGGTGGATGCTGCAGTGTCTGGAACACCTGGGTCCCGAGCCGGTCACTGAGTATCCGAAGAGCTGTCACCAGGAGGCCACAGAGCTGACTGCGTGGAGTTTCCCCGGGGCGAGCACGGTGGAGGCAGGCCTGGGCAGCTGGCGGGCACTGCCGCAATGGCACAGCTTGTGGCTGCAGAGCCAGCAGACTCGACTCTGCTTCCAAGGGGCCCTTTCTGGGGCTCCCCCCGACCCTGGGGCCCCACCTCTGAGCCCGAGCCCCCTGCAGTACGAGCTTCCCCAGGGGGCTGAGAGGAGGCAATGTGAGCCTTCTTGGATCCCCCACACTGATCCGGAGGGCCACACTGGGGAGCATGCCCAGCTGCCGCCGGGCCTCCCTGAACAAGCCGCTCTCTGCAGGCAGGAGGGTGAGCACCCGGCCCCAGACAACGGCCCTGCCTGTTCCTCCGAGCCCATCCAGACACCCACAACCCACCCCAAGAAATACCCCCTGAAGAAAATTATGAGGAAAACACAAAGCTTTGAGATTCCACAGCTTGACAGTGGCCCCCGGGACTCCCCCTGGCCAGGCCACACTGGGGTTTTCATCAGGGGCCTGGAGGTGACCAGCACTGTGGCCTCAGAGAAGCAGCCCCCACCGAGGCCACATGCCGAGAGCCCCCTGGGTACTCGGACGCGGAGTCTGTCCTCTCCCTCCAGGATCCACCCATCCGAGGAGGACAGGAGGAGGCAAGCAGGAAGGTGAGGTGCACGTCCTCCAGCCTTTGGGCCTCGCGGTCAGTGGGGTGCCAGAGAGCTGAAGCCACTAAATGCACTTTCACAAAATAGTAAATCCACAAACATCTCTCCAGGCCCATCTTGTCCTGTCCAGGCAGCACACTTGTGTTCGATTTTAGGCAAGATGTTTTTTTACCTCCTGTGTTCAGAACGGTCATTGAAAACTGCTTCCTATTTTGTAGCCCACCCGCTCATCATTTGAGGCCAATTATAGAAAATCACAATAAGCAAATCACACCTACAATATGAAGAAATTACCTTAAGAATTACTTAAAAAAAAAAAGCCTTTCAGCGTTGAGGTGAGAAGTATGTGTGTGCTTTTATCCATTGCCCAAATGGAGATGTCTGTATTAACTTGTTAAATGTTTAAGAAGATATTTGTAAAAACATACTTGTTATTCACGGTAGGATTAAAAAGTGGGCAAGAACTGTGCCCCATGCTAAGGGCAGGTAGTGACTCTCACCTGGCACCACGGCCTGCCCCTTGGGTTCTTAGTCCATTTTTATAGTGAGCAGGGTGGGCCACAGGTGGGCTGTCCTAGCCTTCCTTGCTCATTTGGTTGGTGGATGTGTTTCCTCCTCATACAGAGAACACCTCTGACCTGAGACGATCACCAAACACTCTCCTAAAACACACCTCTATGTTTCAGACTCCAGGTGGTTACAGTGCACCTAGTTCAGGGAGGAACCTTAGGTGGAACAGGAAGGTTTCATTTGGGAGCACATGAGGTGGGTTTCCCTGGGGGTTGGAATCCCTGGGAAGGCTCCAGGAAGAACCACTCTCCACCTCCCCTGAGCTCATCTGAAAGCTTTCAGAGGCACAGAATGCCCTCCACTCGCTGAGAGCCCCCCAGGTCACCTGCAGTGGACATCCTCGGTCTGGAGGGAACAGGTTTGGGAAGCCATCCTGCCTTTGCCCCTGGGGACAGGTACCCTCTTCCACCTTACATGATCCACGGACCCACCAACCCAAGGTTTGGTAGCAGATTCCACGGCACACCAGAGACGGAGCACTTCCTCCTCGGGCAGGAGAGAACATTTAACCCTATCTCCCATGAAAACCCTGGCCCTTCTGCCAGTTGTCCAGATACAGGTCCTGTCACTTGGTCCATTTCCCCACATCTTTCTAACCATTATTTCCTAGAGAGTCAATTTCCAATTAACTTGTTCCAAACCCCCAGACCGTCCTAGTTTTGTTTCTGAGTATTTAAGGGTGCTTATGCTGGGCAAACGTTGACAGGTGGTGTGCTGTGGGTACTGGGGCCTTGGGTTGGCTGGGGGCACCTCCAGGCCACACGTCCCAGCAGTACCACGAGGTCTGCGTGCTCCCAAGCGGCCAGCACGTGCTGCCCCCTGAGAAACCATAGGTATTTGTAAATCTGTTATGTGAGTGTGATAAGGAACAAGCACGCCAGCTGCAGATGGGGTGCATTCGGCAGCATTTCTGACCACAGGTGTCTTTCCTGTCATTGGTTGCTTTTCATTGTTTTCCATTTAAAAAAAAACAAGTAAATACAAGTAATGGCAAAAAAAGATCTACCAGCCCCCATTAGTATTATCGAGATTGAGTAACGTAGGGAGGTTGCTGGCAGAATGCCGCCCAACAGGGGTAAGACTTTTGTGCCTCGTTACTAGCAGGGTGGGGCTCCCAGTTCGCCAGCTCTTCTCGGTGCCTCCAGAAGTGCTGTGTGCAGCAGAGACATGGCCCCTGCTTGGACCACACCAGCAGGAGCCCAGGGAACCCTCTGC